AGGAAAATGTAAAAAAAAGTATAACACATTTGCGCCTGCGTTAGTTGTACATTAAAAAGTCCACAGCGGCTAAAGTGTTGAGTCAAGAGCCGACTTTTGGACCAGAATGTAAGGCCGTTTTTAAGAGGAAAAAAGGCGTCGTAAAAAAAACGCTAATTCTGTTTCCTGTACACCACCACCGGCAAGGAGTCAGATTACAGCATGTCAGCAGTCGTACCACACCACAGTACAAATTACATTTCGTACTAAGGTCTGGATTGGCTCCATTGACTCCGTTAACAGGTGGGAGGAGTTAATTCATTTCGCAGATTGAAACGATTGGATCTGAGTTTACCGTGACGTATGTATTGCGCCCGAGTGAGTGAGGCATCTAGCATTTAGCCTAGCTTTAGCATTTAGCCCAGCTTTAGCATTTAGCCTCGCTTTAGCTATCTCCTTTGCCACTAACGGAGCCCGTGGGGAGCAGCGCCACAAAATTGTTGTCAGCAATTACATTTGCTAAACATTCCTCTTGCTCAGATTCAGATTCAGATTCAGATTCATTTATTTGCCATTTGCAGTAAAACCACATTGGAAAACTGTGCAAGACTACCCCGGTGTGCACCAGAAGACGACACACACCAGAGCTCTTGCCACGGCGCCATCTTTACGGCGCCATGCGACAAACAGTAGAATAACAGTTCCGGCTTCAATTTTTGACCAGACCGGAATACTTTACTATCGCATTTCCAAACTACAACCTGTCAACTCGGAGCAAACTCTTGACGTCACCGACATCTACCTACAACACCCGCTGATTGGCCGGATGGGATTCAACCGATGTAATTCTACTGCTTCTAACAAGACTTATGTATTTATGTTTGATCGTAATATGTAATGTGTGTAAGCAAAAAAAAAAAAAAAATAATAATAATAATAATAATTTGTACCTTTTAAGTAAATTGATGTAACTCTAAGCTAGTAAAAGTAAGGTAAGGCAGTTTTAATTAGAGCAGGTAAGGTTAGTTAGTAGGTAATATAATAGGTATCTAGGGTAATATGTATAGGTTACTAATGTATGTTTGTGTTCTTAATATTGTGTATTGTCTTGGGCCCCATATATAAGCTAAATGTTGCTTCAAGGGTGTCCCGTTTATGAATATGCACTATCATCTATAAATGGATGTTAAAATGTTTTTTATTGTATATTTGTAATAAACTGAACTGAACTGAACTGAACTAATTGCAGACACTGGGACCAGACCCAAACGGTAAATGCAGGGAAATTATAATTAACCAGAGTTTACTGATGACTAAGGCCAGGCCATGTCAGCGCACGTGCTCATGGACCCTTTAGAGCCAGGACCCGCCCCCCACTGGTTTGGACAAAAGCCGGCGACAACACTTTGTATTCGAGTGTATTTACGTGGCTTGGTGGATCACACGGGACTTCTCCAGGAGGTATTCCGAGATCTGAGCCCCCACCACGGTTCCTCCAGCGGTGAACTTCATCTCTAAGTATTTCCCAAAGCGGCTGGAGTTGTCGTTGATGACGGTGCATGCGTTTCCGAAAGCCTCCACCAGGTTGTTGACGAGCAGAATCTTCTCCTGCAGAGTCTGATTGTTGGCCTAAAAAACACCCATATTATACACTACATACAACTGACAGCTCCCTTTCCACGTCTAAATATGAAGAGAAGTCTGCTGCATGACAATTACTGGTCCAGACCGTACAGAATGGTTTCGCTGACACATGGAGCTACAGCTGAATGTATGATCAGAATAAAAATGTGGGGAATGTATTAGTTTTGTTCTGCAGGTAAACAATGCGCACCTTTCCGAGGAACGTGAGCTGCTGCACCAGGAGATGAGCGCCCTCGGTTTTCCCAGCTCCGCTTTCGCCGCTTATCACGACACACTACAAACAAGACAACACTTTATAAGAAGACAAAAACACAACACAGATGAACGAGTCGAGGCATTACTTTGCGAAACAAGAACTGTGCACTGCGGAAATTGGAAAAAGTGACTTATTGAAGCACTTTGTTCCTATATGCGCTGCCTTGAATTGAGTCGTTTTATTCCTGAATGAAGAGGACGCAATATGTATAATTTTTTTTAATCTATTTTACAGTTAAAGATTTAAAAATGCTTATTACTACATGCAAGCTGTATTATAATCGGTAATTTTATTGAAAACTTGAGCATTGATTCAGCTGTGTATGAATTCAGGCCGTAAAAAGTGCTGAGTAGAGACTTTAACAGGAGGAGAGAGGCCGCTCTCCTCCAATCACAGAACGAGGCTGTGTCCTCTAGCCTCTACAGCGCTGCTAACCACAGTAGCATGTTAGCATGTTAGCATAAGTGGCTATAACTCCTCTGGCTGTAACTGCAGACACAGCAAAACAGCCCAAACCACACAACAGTGAGGAAGAGAAGAGGAACTAAAGCAAAAACATGATCAAAGAAGAAACCAAGCCCTGAACAGAGCTAGCTTACATCGTATCCTCTGGAGAGACTGGTCCATGGGAGAGACCTGCGGGACCGCCTCGGACTATCTATGCTCGGACTATCTATGCACGGACTATCTACGCTCGGACTATCTACGCTCGGACTATCTATGCTCGGACTATCTGTGCTCGGACTATCTATGCTCGGACTATCTGTGCTCGGACTATCTATGCTCGGACTATCTATGCTCGGACTATCTACGCTCGGACTATCAATGCTCGGACTATCTATGCTCAGACTATCTACGCTCGGACTATCAATGCTCGGACTATCTATGCTCAGACTATCTATGCTCGGACTGTCTACGCTCGGACTATCTACGCTCGGACTATCTGTGCTCGGACTATCTATGCTCGGACTATCTGTGCTCGGACTATCTATGCTCGGACTATCTACGCTCGGACTATCAATGCTCGGACTATCAATGCTCGGACTATCTACGCTCGGACTATCTGCGCTCGGACTATCTACGCTCGGACTATCTACGCTCGGACTATCTACGCTCGGACTATCAATGCTCGGACTATCTATGCTCGGACTATCTATGCTCGGACTATCTACGCTCGGACTGTCTACGCTCGGACTGTCTACGCTCGGACTATCTACGCTCGGACTATCAATGCTCGGACTATCTATGCTCGGACTATCTACGCTCGGACTATCTACGCTCGGACTATCTGCGCTCTGACTATCTACGCTCGGACTATCTACGCTCGGAATATCAATGCTCGGACTATCAATGCTCGGACTATCTACGCTCGGACTATCTATGCTCGGACTATCTATGCTCGGACTATCTATGCTCGGACTATCAATGCTCGGACTATCAATGCTCGGACTATCTATGCTCGGACTATCAATGCTCGGACTATCTATGCTCGGACTATAAATGCTCAGACTATCAATGCTCGGACTATCTATACTCGGACTATCAATGCTCGGACTATCTACGCTCGGACTATCAATGCTCGGACTATCAATGCTCGGACTATCTACGCTCGGACTATCTACGCTCGGACTATCTACGCTCGGACTATCTGCGCTCTGACTATCTACGCTCGGACTATCTACGCTCGGACTATCAATGCTCGGACTATCAATGCTCGGACTATCAATGCTTGGACTATCTATGCTCGGACTATCTATACTCGGACTATCAATGCTCGGACTATCAATGCTCGGACTATCAATGCTCATACTATCTACGCTCGGAATATTTATACTCGGACTATCAATGCTTGGACTATCTATGCTCGGACTATCTATACTCGGACTATCAATGCTCGGACTATCAATGCTCGGACTATCAATGCTCATACTATCTACGCTCGGAATATTTATACTCGGACTATCAATGCTCGGACTATCAACGCTCGGACTATCTATGCTCGGACTATCTATACTCGGACTATCAATGCTCGGACTATCAATGCTCATACTATCTACGCTCGGAATATTTATACTCGGACTATCAATGCTCGGACTATCTATGCTCGGACTATCAATGCTCGGACTATCTATGCTCATACTATCTACGCTCGGACTATCTATGCTCATACTATCTACGCTCGGACTATCTATGCTCATACTATCTATGCTCGGACTATCTATGCTCGGACTATCTATGCTCGGACCATCTATGCTCAGACTGCAGTCGAATGTGAAACTAGCGGTAATCTTTCAGTTATATATTGTGTTAGCAGTGCGTTGCTTTTGTACCATTTCATCAGTGATTATTGTACAACTTACAAGAAGTTGCGCTAATGCTAATGTTAGCATTTAGATCGCAAATAAAACTAGATGGCTCCGTGCGATGAGAGCGTAGGGGAAATTAAAAGCCTGTGAGCGAGTTGAGGGGCGGGGCTAAACATTCAAACCTTGCAGAAACGGGTATAGCTCGTTTAAATAATATTTTTTGTATACAGAAAAATAAAACAAATGTGACGGAAACACTTCGTTCCTACTTAAACTGACTCATCTTTGAATTTAAAAAAAAGTCTTCGGAAATTGGCATATTTACACATTTTTTCCTGTAAAAATATTGAGATATATATCGTACATCAAGATACAGAAAAATGTATCGAGATTTTTTATTCTCTATGGACTGTAAAAAAGTGACCTATGGGACCTTTAATGACCTTTAATGACTGAACTCCGACCAAGACAAACCCACCTGGTCTGCATTGATCGTGACCATGGACTGGTACGCCATGTCTGCCACGGCAAAGATATGCGGCGGGTTTTCTTTGCGTTTTACTCCGATGTACATCTTTGAGTTCTGGGGAGAAAGAACAACCATTAAACCCGGCTACTGTAGCTACACGCGGCTCCGATCTATCGCCTCTGTCAGACCCCGATCCATAATCTGTCATCAAGACGTATTACATCTTTGTCCACAGACCTCCGCAGTGTAAATGTCCATGGGATGAAATGGATTGACGGCGATGAGAATGTCTCCCACGTAGGTGTAGATCAAGTCTCTCTCGAAGCGATTCTGGAGGTGGTCCGTGACGGTGTTCTGAAAGACACCAGGCCATTTTACAAAAGGGGAAGTCTGCCTCATTAAAACCTTGATGTGCGTTTATTATTCCAAAGTCCTGCCTGAAGACGCAGTATCGGTGTTATCTCCCCGTGATTGATTCGGCCCCAGAGTTAAAGCTGGAGAATCAACGAGGGCCGAGATCTTTGTCTTGAGGAATGGTCGTAAATATCCACGGGCGAGTGTTGGAATCGGTCCATCTATCCGGACTCACACCTCTGATGGATTTTGCAGCTTGTTATTGTTGATTGCGACTCGGCTGATCCCTGACGTGATGCTCAGAGGTCGCTCAATAAACTACGGTTCAACTTTTGCATTCTCGTTTTTATGCAAGTTTGTGTGTGTGTAGCATGTGTGTGTAGCATGTGTGTGTAGCATGTGTGTGTAGCATGTGTGTGTAACATGTGTGTGTAAACTCCAACATCATACTGTATGTAACATGAAGCATATGAAGTCTCTCTGCTATTTCTCTCTCTGATCTTTCTCTGGTCTCTACCTGGTCTCTCTCGCTGGTCTCTCTCTGGTCTCTCTCTGGTCTCTACCTGGTCTCTCTCGCTGGTCTCTCTCTGGTCTCTCTCTGGTCTCCACCTGGTCTCTCTCTGGCCTCTCTCTGATCTCTCTGTGGCCTCTCTCTGGTCTCTCTCTCTGGTCTCTCTCTGGTCTCTCTCTGGTCTCTCTCTGGTCTCTCTCTGGTCTCTCTCTAGTCTCTCTCTGGTCTCTCTCTGGTCTCTCTCTGATCTCTCTCTGGTCTCTCTCTGGTCTCTCTTTGATCTCTCTGTGGCCTCTCTGGTCTCTCTCGCTGGTCTCTCTCTGGTCTCTCTCTGGTCTCCACCTGGTCTCTCTCTGGCCTCTCTCTGGTCTCTCTCTGGCCTCTCTGTGGTCTCTCTCTGGTCTCTCTCTCTGGTCTCTCTCTCTGGTCTCTCTCTGGTCTCTCTCTCTGGTCTCTCTCTCTGGTCTCTCTCTGGTCTCTCTCTGGCCTCTCTCTGGTCTCTCTCTGGTCTCTCTCTCTGGTCTCTCTCTGGTCTCTCTCTCTGGTCTCTCTCTCTGGTCTCTCTCTGGTCTCTCTCTGGTCTCTCTCTCTGGCCTCTCTCTGGTCTCTCGCTCTGGTCTCTCTCTGGTAACAACAACATCCTCCTATAATCGCCAGCCTTCAAACATATCACTGCTCGATGAAAGGATTTTGACCTTATTATACATTATATTGTGGGTTCTTTTTTATGTCTTTAAGGGATTTCCAATGAAAAACACACTACATTTAAAAAGTGGTTTTAAACAGATTCATGTTATTGGACTGTGTTGGTACCTCGTCCAGCACTTCCAGAGCAGCGAGATCCTCCACCTCGTCGGAGTCGCCCTGGTTCTTCATGTGGTTGCCCTTTTTGGTGTGGATGCGTTCATGCCTGCAGTGGAGATTACAAAAGTCTTAATCCGAGCAGTGAACCATAAGTTATTACATATGTAAATGTTGTAGCACTGTAAGGATTCATTTTCAGAGCCTTCTCCAGGAGACTGTTTGGATCCAATTCTACGGTTGTTAAAAGGTCAAAGAAATCCATTTGGAGAATTAATTTCAAGAAAAGACCCACATTGGATAAAAGGTCAGCCACAGTCCTCGTTCTACAGCCTGAGTCCTGGATCTACAGCCTCAATCCTGGATCTACAGCCTCAGTCCTGGATCTACAGCCTCAGTCCTGGATCTACAGCCTCAGTCCTGGATCTACAGCCTCAGTCCTGGATCTACAGCCTCAGTCCTGGGTCTACAGCCTCAGTCCTGGATTTACAGCCTCAGTCTTGGATCTACAGCTTCAGTCCTGGATCTACAGCCTCAGTCTTGGATCTACAGCCTCAGTCTTGGATCTACAGCCTCAGTCCTGGATCTACAGCCTCAGTCTTGGCTCTACAGCCTCAGTCTTGGCTCTACAGCCTCAGTCCTGGATCTACAGCCTCAGTCCTGGATCCACAGCCTTAGTCCTGGATCTACAGCCTCAGTCCTGGATCTACAGCCTCAGTCCTGGATCTACAGCCTCAGTCCTGGATCTACAGCCTCAGTCCTGGATCTACAGCCTCAGTCCTGGATCTACAGCCTCAGTCCTAAGGCTATACACAAATAACTTGAATTGAATAGAATTGGATTTTTGTGAATTGTTGAATGGCTTTTTCCAATGAAACATTATAATACATTTCTATTGTGAGGCGAAATAAAAATAGGAACCCAAAAGGCAGGACTGAAAATAGAATATAATCTAATGAAACAAAACCAAATCCAGGGTAAAAAATAAAACACAAAAATCAGAACTAAAAATACATCAAGGTACGGACCACAAGCACAGGGTATATAAAAACAGTACGGATAATTTTAAAATGGGACAAACAGACGAAGGAGAACTCAAAAAGACAAGACAACAGATTAAATTACAACAGAAATTCAAGATAAGAAATTACCCATCTCATCACGGTTCTTTTTGTGTCAATAAAACAAATATTTCTGACATTTTTACCAACGGATGCTTCATTCTCAGTCCCCTCTTTACCCATAATCCTCCTGACCTCCATAAAGAACAGACACATGTGTTTCTGCTCATTCCCATTATTAACATACATCACTTTAGGCGTCACTTCCAGGTTTATAATTGAGATTTCTTGAAGCCAATCAGCCGCCGCAGCTCATTTACGGCGAGTCGAGAGATTGTGAAACGTTAGCGAACGACATGACGCTTATGAAATTGAACGCCAAGGACAAGCGGCGGGGTTGACACTAATCGTTTCTCTCCTCATACTAAAAACCCCATTATCTTTTAGACTTTTCTCCATCCTACTGGGAGACCGTGGTGCCGCTGGTTACCTGTCCGTCCCGTCTCTGTCTGTGTTTCCGTGAGGGCTTTAGTGACAGAAAGAGGACATATTTGAACACACATGGTAGCTTTGCATGTTCTACTTATGGGGAGGAGGAGGAGGAGGAGGAGGATGAGGAGGGGGAGGAGAGTCATTTAGATTTAGCTGTCTCTGGGTTTTTAAGCTGCGTGCCTATACGATTATACAGGCAGGGATCGGGATAGAGCGCTTTTGGGTGAGTCACGGGGAAGAAAGTGGGAATATACACTGTAAAAAGTGGTGAATTATAAGTCAAAAATGGCTCAAATTTGGCTAAACGTATCATACTGTAGTTTGAGCAGATTTTGACTGCCTTAAAACAATATTTGCGAATGGGACAAAGCAAAATGATCTTGTTTAAAAAAAATATACAAGAAATTTCTCTGTTGGAAAGAGAAAATAAAGCAGCAGTTCATAAAAAAGGACAAAATGGCTTCGTCCTATTGGTAAATTTTGCGTCAATACAGTCAGAATGTGCTCAGATTAAGATAAAAACCACTCGATTCTAGCAAATAACACCTCATATTTTATCATTTTTTTGCAGTGCTTGTTATGTACCGTGTTTTCTCGATGGTTCCTGTTTGCTGGTTGAGGTCGATGAGCTCGATGAGTTGTTTGGGGAGGAGTTTCTCTTTGCCTGTGATCTGTTTGATGAAGGGATGCTGCAGCAGGTCAATGACATTAGGCCTCAGCTCAAAGTCCTTGATAAGACACCTGCAAAAGGAGATAAAAACACAGCTTAAGACCGAAATGATAGAAACGATAAAATATACAAGCAAAACCAGAGACTGTCGATATTAGCGCAACATATGATCAAGCATGAGGCTGTAAATTATTGAATAAACTTGTTTTTATCTTCTTTATTTTGTTTGTTTTGCCAAATGCCGAGACGTTTGCAAGTTCAAGCACAGTAGCAATTCTTTCCTCGTTCCAAGAGAGAAATTGTTTATCTCCTAAAAATAAGTCATTACTACGTTAGCATCGGCAAATCTTTGTTTAAGACCAAATCCAGACAGATTTACCCAAAAAATCAATTGTGTTTTTCTCTAAAATGTAGAGCCTTGAGGATAAATTAAGGAAATTCATTAAATTAAGAATTCTAAATGTTTTTTGGTTGTGCGTTAGAGCGAGACGGCACAGTGGGACTTCTCTGTCTCTGTGGGATCATGTTTTTTTACTGTGAAATGAAAAGTTAGAGATGCAGACGTGGGGTTTCTATCTGGTAACTTTTGCTGTGAGGGTTTTATTGCTCAAAAATATATAAATCATAATAAAAACATCATGATTATTATTGTGTGTGCACTGATCCGGACCAATTCTTCAACTAACTCCCTTTTCTATCATTATGATCATAGAACTCAGTGATATTTCAGCCCAGATCTCCAAGTGTCTCTCTCTGTCTCTGTCTCTCTGTCTCTCTGTCTTTGTGTCTCTTTCTCTGTGTCTCTGTCTCTCTCTGTCTCTCTCTGTCTCTCTCTCTCTGTGTCTCTCTCTCTCTCTGTCTCTCTCTGTCTCTCTCTGTCTCTCTCTCTGCCTCTGTCTCTCTCTCTCTCTCTGTCTCTCTCTCTGTCTCTCTCTGTCTCTCTCTGTCTCTCTCTCTGCCTCTGTCTCTCTCTTTCTCTCTCTCTCTGTGTCTCTCTCTCTCTCTGTCTCTCTCTGTCTCTCTCTGTCTCTCTCTTTCTCTCTCTGTCTCTCTCTGTCTCTCTGTGTCTCTCTCTCTCTCTGTCTCTCTCTCTGCCTCTGTCTCTCTCTCTCTCTCTCTGTCTCTCTCTTTCTCTCTCTGTCTCTCTCTGTCTCTCTCTCTGCCTCTGTCTCTCTCTCTCTGTCTCTCTCTGTCTCTGTCTCTCTCTGTCTCTCTCTCTCTCTGTCTCTCTCTGTCTCTGTCTCTCTCTGTCTCTCTCTGTCTCTCTCTGTCTCTGTGTCTCTGTCTCTCTGTGTCTCTCTCTCTGTCTCTCTCTGTCTCTCTCTCTGCCTCTGTCTCTCTCTCTCTCTGTCTCTCTCTGTCTCTCTCTGTCTCTCTTTGTCTCTGTCTCTCTGTGTTTCTGTGTTTCCCCAAGCGAGACCACTGTGAGACCACACTGAGACCACACAGAGGCCACACTGAGACCACACTGAGACCACACTTAGACCACACTGAGACCACACTGAGACCACTGTGAGACCACACAGAGACCACACTGAGACCACTGTGAGACCACACTGAGACCACACAGAGGCCACACTGAGACCTCTGTGAGACCACACTGAGACCACACAGAGGCCACACTGAGACCACTGTGAGACCACACAGAGACCACACTGAGACCACTGTGAGACCACACAGAGACCACACAGAGGCCACACTGAGACCACATTGAGACCACACTTAGACCACACTTAGACCACACTGAGACCACACTGAGACCACACAGAGACCACACAGAGACCACAGAGACCACACTGAGACCACACTGAGACCACACAGAGACCACACTGAGACCACACTGAGACCACTGTGAGACCACATAGAGACCACACAGAGACCACAGAGACCACACTGAGACCACACTGAGACCACACTGAGACCACACAGAGACCACACTGAGACCACACAGAGACCACACAGAGACCACACAGAGGCCACACTGAGACCACACTGAGACCACACTTAGACCACACTTAGACCACACTGAGACCACACTGAGACCACACTGAGACCACACAGAGACCACACAGAGACCACACAGAGACCACAGAGACCACACTGAGACCACACTGAGACCACACTGAGACCACACAGAGACCACACTGAGACCACACAGAGACCACACTGAGACCACACTGAGACCACTGTGAGACCACATAGAGACCACACTGAGACCACTGTGAGACCACACAGAGACCACACAGAGACCACAGAGACCACACTGAGACCACACTGAGACCACACAGAGACCACACTGAGACCACACAGAGACCACACTGAGACCACACTGAGACCACACTGAGACCACACTCACTTGCAGATGAAGTCATTACAGCCGTCTGACCACAGCTCGGGCTCGTGCAGAGTCGGGGGTGGATTTCTGTGGAGAAAAAAAACAATCGAAAAGATAAATGGTAAGATAAGATGAGGCAGGATTTTACAGCAGGAGGAGGAGGAGAAGGAGGAAGGAGGTGGAGGAGGAGGAGGAGAAGGAGGAAGGAGGTGGAGGAGGTAGAGGAGAAGGAGGAGGAGAAGGTGGAGGTGGAGGAGGAGGAGCGAGGAGGAGGAGAAGGTGGAGGAGGAGGAGGAGAGAGGAGGAGGAGAGGGAGGAAGAGGAGAAGGAGGAAGGAGGAGGAGGAGAGGGAGGAAGAGGAGAAGGAGGAGGAGGAGAAGGTGGAGGAGGAGGAGCGAGAAGGAGGAAGAGGAGGAGGAGAAGGTGGAGGAGGAGGAGGAGAGAGGAGGAGGAGAGGGAGGAAGTAAGTAAGTAAGTAAGTAAAGTTTATTTATAAAGCGCTTTTCACAGATAAAAATCACAAAGTGCTGTACAGGACAGTGGGCAAATACAAAACAATATAAAATACACTTACACACATTACACATTTTATGTACTTAAAAGTGACATCAGTGAGAACCCAATCAACTAAAAGCTTTCTTAAATAAATAAGTCTTCAAGCCTTTTTTGAAAGAGTCCGCAGAGTCGACCAGACGTAGGGACAGGGGCAGGGCGTTCCACAGTCTGGGGGCAACAGACTGAAAAGACCGGTCCCCTCGAGTCTTATAATGGGTTTTGGGGACCACAAGCAGGTTCTGGCCAGAGGACCGGAGAGAACGGCCAGAGGAGTACAGGCTCAAAAGGTTCAGGATGTACTGGGGGGCCTGACCATTTAAGGCTCTGAAGGTCAGCACTAAGATCTTAAAATCAATCCTGAATTTGACTGGGAGCCAATGAAGAACAGACAGAACAGGAGTGATATGGGACCTACGAGGGGCACCTGTTAAAAGTCTAGCAGCAGAATTTTGAACAATTTGAAGTTGATTGAGTGCAGACTTATTCAAGCAGGTAAAAACAGAGTTGCAATAGTCAAGTCTTGTTGAAATAAAAGCGTGAATGATCATTTCCAGATCATTCTTTGACAACATATTGCGGATTTTTGCAATGTTCCTAAGGTGATAAAAGCAGTTACGGACGAGCTGTTTGGAGTGTGTCTCCATAGACATGGCCTGGTCAAACACAACCCCTAGGTTTCTGAGGCTGGATTTGACGGAGGAGCCAGGAAGAGGAGAAGGAGGAGGAGGAAGGAGGAGGAGGAGAGGGAGGAAGAGGAGAAGGAGGAGGAGGAGAAGGAGGAGGAGAAGGTGGAGGAGGAGGAGCGAGGAGGAGGAGAAGGAGGAAGAGGAGGAGGAGAAGGTGGAGGAGGAGGAGCGAGGAGGAGGAGAAGGTGGAGGAGGAGGAGGAGAGAGGAGGAGGAGAGGGAGGAAGAGGAGAAGGAGGAGGAGGAAGGAGGAGGAGGAGAGGGAGGAAGGAGGTGGAGGAGGTGGAGGAGGAGAGGGAGGAAGAGGAGAAGGAGGAGGAGGAAGGAGGAGGAGAAGGAGAAAGAGGAGAAGGAGGAGGAGGAGGAAGGAGGAGGAGGAGGAGGCGCTGAACAAAAGTCTCACACTGGAACACGTGACTGAAATTTTCTGGGCAGCAAGAAAAGTATCTCCTGATGTGAATAACAATAATGTTTCCATTTTTTTAAAACTAAAATCACTGTTATTCATTTTTTAAATTATTATTATTATTATTATTTTTATATTTTAATGTTTTATCTATTTTTATTATAATCATTTTTTTTTTTTTCATTTTTTATTTTAGTTTTTGTTACTGTAATCTTTTCATTTGCATCATAACTGTTGCCTTGTCTTGTCTTTGAACTTTGCAATTTTGACAAAATGAAAAAACGTATATAAAGTATATAAACCCAGGACCTTCTTGCTGAGAAGGTCCTGGGTTCGAATCCCGGTCGGACCAGGGCCTTTCTGAGTGGAGTTTGCATGTTCTCCCCGTGTCTGCGTAGGTTTCCTCCGGGTACTCCGGTTTCCCCTACCACTAAAAATATGTCCAATAGTTCTGGCATGTGCCTCCTGTACTGCCCCGCTCCCATCTCTGTGTGGAGTGAGAGACAAATGCCCATAATTAACAATTGTAAACCGCTTTGAGACTCAGATCTGCAGTGAAAAGGCGGTATATAAATAAAGATTACTACTTACTACTACTACTAAAAATATCTCCATGGCAACTCATGATGGCATCGATATAACAGTAAAAATGACAGTGTTTAGCCTGAACTGCTTCCTATTTAGACCAAGACTGTTATCAGTTCAGGTTTAACACCGCCTCACACACACGGAGCTAATTTTCTGTAATCCCGTTCCAATTTAAGAACCTTTTTTTAACAAGATATTTTGGGAAAACTCTGCGATAAACCAGTGTATAATGAGAGCGTATTCATCTCCCGGTTATCGCACGGCGCCCGCAGACGTTAGCGTTTATTCAGAGTCTGCTCATGGGCTAATGCTCTGACCATTAAGGTTTGTCTCATTCTCAAGACAAAATGCATCCGAGAGCGCGGTTGGTTCAAACGTGACGGACTCCAGGCGCTCGCTACGGATGATGCAGCCGTCGTGAAGAGAAGCTGTTATCAGTGGATATTATAGGATCCAGATACAGCACGGGTGAGAGCAGCGGAAAGACTGTAGGAAGCTTCGAAGTAACACAAAGGGAGAAGAAAAGGTCTCACTATTGTGCATGAAACTAGACTCTAAATAAGTGTCTCTGTGTTGGTCTTGCTTCTCTTTCACCGGCTGGAGAACCTGACTTTGGAACCATAACAAATAACTGTAATTAAAGTCGGGAGATTATAATTAGAAGGACTGTGGTGATGATCCAGGACACTCTGAATCCGGGAACCAGACATGGGGGGGGGGAAATAATGGACCGACAACGAGAGGACAAGAGCAAAGGGTCTAAATACACACAGGTACACACAGGTACACACAGGTACAATCAACAAGACAGACAGGAAGTAAAACTCACAACAAGAGAACAAAAATATATCAAAAAAGGACCAGATAATTGACATTTAACAATATTTATGGACATTGGTCTCTGCTCTATGTGTTTTTCATCGATGCATTTCTTGTGTTTGAACAGTTTGATTCTCTGATCTGCGATGAAAAATTCAACAGTTTTGTAAAGTCCTCCAAGAGTACATTGAATTAGGATTGTTGCATGTATATTGTTGGCCTCTGTCACATCTTTAGACCAGCTTATCCAGTGAAAACGAGAGTAGCCAATCAGCTCTCAGGATTTAGAATATACAATGTTTTCTTATAAGTAAATAAATAAGTATTCTTTAATATATTTCACATGATTCAGAGACCTGTCAATACCATTCACTCCACAGTGAATCTACTCACTCACACATTCAGACCTATTGTACATGTTTTTATTGGTAGCACCTGGAAGAAACCTATGCGGACACGAGGAGAGCATGCAAACTTTATAAAGGTAAATGTCTGGAGGTACATATTATGATCCACATTGAATGCCACACTATACAATGGTGAATGAATGACCAAATCCAGACAAAACATTTGGCTTGAGAAAACCTCGCACAGCTCTCTAATGACTCAAATCATTTCCAAAGAGCTTCGTTAATGAGGAGCGACAGGGTGTGGCTGAGTCCGTGCCCCTGGAGGGTCTTTTGGGAGGCTGGGCAGGGGGAGAGGAGGCCGGGCAAGGGTAGAGGAGTGAGAGGGGGAGAGGAGGCTGGGCAGGAGGAGAGGAGGCTGGGCAAGGGGAGAGGAGGCTGGGCAGGGGGAGAGGACGCTGGGCAAGGGGAGAGGAGGCTGGGCAGGGGGAGAGGAGGCTGGGCAGGGGGAGAGGACGCTGGGCAAGGGGAGAGGAGGCTGGGCAGGGGGAGAGGACGCTGGGCAGGGGGAGAGGAGGTTGGGCAGGGGGGGAGGAGTGAGAGCTGTGTGAGGAGACAGCCTGGAGGCCTGACCGCAGCAGTCACAGGAGATTGTGAGGAGGCGGCTGATGTGTCGTGACCCCCGGGGCGAGAGCCAGACTTCTGCTGCAGCGACAGACACAACCACTGTTTACATGATGCAGGTCTGGGGAAGGAGGCAGGGGCAGGAGGCTGGGCAAGGAGGCTGGAGGATGGAGCAGGAGACTGGGACAGGAGGCTGGGGCAGGAGGCTAGGGCAGAAGACTAGAGCAGGAGGCAGGAGGCTGTAGCAGGAGCCTTGGGAAGGAGGCGGGGGCAAAGACATCCAATCGGCCAGCGAACTCCCATCTCAGTACTGACCAGGCCCTACCCTACTTAGCTTCAGAGGTCTGACGCTATCTGACTTTCAGATGCAGGTGACTCCTTAACCAACTTTCTATTGATGCATTTATTTATAATTTATCGAATATGAATTATTATAAAAGTTTTTATATTATTAAGATACAACTCAACACAAAAATGGAGAAAAACACATATTACCAAATTAACAAAACTATTTTTTTTTTTATTGATATATAACTAAACCCAAACAGTTTCATTATTACATGTTGAATTGGTTATTGATGTCGCCTAATACTGTAACTATGAGCAAACTCCAAAATAATCACCAGATATATTTTTGGTTGTCCATCTCCCTATGATTATGACATCTCCTTATGACACTGAATAAGACTCAAGTTCTTTTTGATAACAAATAAATACCACAAAAAAAAATCATATGAACGGTTCAAACGCTGTGAAACAATCGTACATTTCTGTGTCTAATACAGTTTTCTCCCTCGTGGCCACGATCAATACCAATCTCTGTCACGGCGAATGAACGACCTTTTCCAAAACATTTTCAATTCTCTGCAGTGATCCCTCAGCCCCATGTAAGCAGACATTAAAACACTAACAATGACTTTTGTCCTTGAGTTTATAATTCCCACAGATGTTAGAGAGAGACAGAGCTGCTGCTTATGACGAGCAGAAAGAGAGACTGTGAAACCCCCGCGGGCAAAAAGACACCGTCTGGAAGTGTGGGGTCTGAGGGAGATGGATCCAGTTCGATGGAGCTTTGTGCTACTGTCACGTTAAAGGCGACATGTTTATCATCTGAACTTACTGCACTTTAGGAGTAACAGTTTTTATTTTTGTTATGCATGTGTATTTTGACTATTTTTACTCATGAAGCGTAAGCGTGAATTCAGACTGGAAGAACATAAGACGCTGCCACTCTGACTCCTCCCCTTATGCACTGACTCCTCCCCCTCAGCACTGACTCCTCCTATGCTGCCCTGACTGCCCTGGCTTTTCCATTTGCACTGACTCCTCCCCCTCTGGATTGACTCCTCCCCCTTGGCACTGACTCCTCCGTTGCTGCTCTGACTCCTCCCCCTTGGCACTGACTCCTCCCCCCTCGGCACTGCTGACTGGAGTGCTGACTCCTCCAATTCTGCACTTGCTTTTCCCCCTGCACTGACTCCTCCCCCGCTGCCCTAACTCCTCCCCCTTAGCACTGACTCCCCTTCTTCTGCACTGGATTTTCCCTTTGCACTGACTCCTCCCCCTCAGCACTGACTCCTCCTATGCTGCCCTGACTGACCTGGCTTTTCCATTTGCACTGACTCCTTCGTTGCTGCCCTGACTCCTCCCCCTTGGCACTGACTCCTCCCCCCTCGGCACTGCTCCTCCCCCTCTGCATTGACTCCTCCCCCTTGGAGTGCTGACTCCTCCAATTCTGCACTTGCTTTTCCCACTGCACTAACTCCTCCCCCGCTGCCCTAACTCCTCCCCCTTAACACTGACTCCCCTTCTTCTGCACTGGATTTTCCCTTTGCACTGACTCCTCCCCCGCGGTACCGACTCCTCCCCTTCTGCAATGTCTCCTCCCTCTGTACTGACTCCTTCCTCTGCACTGACTCCTCCCCTTCTAGACTGACTCCTTCCTCTGCACTGACTCCTCCCCTTCTACACTGACTCCTCCTGCTGCACTGATTCCTCCCTCTTTACTGACTCCTCCCTCTACACACCTGGGCTCATCATCACTTCATGGCTGCATTCAAACAGAGCCACTCAGTTCTCTGCAGCATCAAGCTCCTGGTCAAGCAGTAACCCACCTCCTCCCCATCACCGCCTATTCAGTGGAGAATCATGTCATATCTCCGGCTCAGCCTTTTTCGCCACCAGGGTCTAGTCCCCGGGGGGTTTGAAAGCTCATCATTTCTATTAAACTCCCCCTGCAGGCGTCATGCAGTGTTCCTTTCGGGGCCTAATCGCCAAAGCTTAACAAACATTGAAGTTGAAATACATTAAAATGATTACTACCCAATCAATGTGTCGCCTGAGGTTTATGTCTATTCATGCATCTTGACAACAGAAATTCTCAAGCAATCTTTGTCTAGAGTTTTTCCAGATTGAATTATAAAACTTGATCGTAATTCACCTCGAGCCAAAGAAAAATCCTGCTTTCAATGCAGTATAATACTTCTGAATCTGATTCTTTTCATGGAGTAAGGACCAGCACTTTGCAGCATTTTGCAGCAGCTCTGAGGAGACGTTTACACAACTGTCTTTGAGAGAACGTGACATCTGCAGGTGGCTCGTCTGAGTCACCACAGACGCAGTGACGTCACGGAGGCAGTGGTTAAAGAGCGGCGCATTCATTCCTGCAAACGTCACGCTTCTATTGACCAAGAATTATCTGTGGAACCCTCGACATGACTTTATGAGACTATATATAAAGCTGCATTGAACAGAAAAGCAGTGCATTCTTATATAACTCACCTCTAGATGAACCAGTCCAGAGCTCAGACTGTGAAAAGGTGTGTTTGCCCTAAAACCAGCCCTAAATTGTGTAAATGTGACTCGAATAGACTTAAATTGAACTCTTTTCAGCAAAGATTAAGATGAACAGATCTTTCATTCATCCCACAGTGGGGAGAATTCAGTGTTACATCACAAATTACAGAAGATAAATGAATAATAACTCCATTCTAAATTAAAATCAAATCTCTCACAATAGTATAAAAAGCAGTATTAAATCTCTATCTACAGCGTCATAAGGAAAGACGTCTAGAATCTCCAACTTAATGAAGAGGCAAGACCTAAAGCTATACAGGAGGAATTTCCCATTAATTAGGAAAGAACCGCCCTCTCCACTTCTTAAACAAAACTCTCTGGTCTTATTGGACGAGCGCGTATCACCAAAATGATTGACATTAGGAGCACCAATGGTCTTGATGATCCACCCTAAAGTAGAAAATCATCCTATACACAAACTCTCTAATATAATAATTGGTCAGTGTCACATTTTTACCGATAAGTCTACTCATTATTGTGTAAAAAGTAAGTAGACTAAAGCAGAGTGGTGGGTATTTGTCACTTTTAACTCCACCCGTAGAGCAAATTTACTCTCCCTAATGTTGAAAATACTCTGGGATAACACAAATGTACTCTGAAACATTACCGCCACTGTATTTTTTTGCAGTTTTTGCAGTGTATATGTGTGAGTTTTCACCTGGGGATCTTAAACAGGGCTCTCATAGGATGCAGGTCAGACAGAGGTGGGTCTCCATCCCCCAGCTCTATGGCCGTGATGCCCAAAGACCACACGTCACAGCGGGCATCGTAGGTCGAGTCCAGCTGCTGCTCACACGCAATGACCTGAAGCAGAAACAACAGCAGAGGAGAGAGAGGCCGTCACACAACAGCCTGTTTGGAGTCCGCAGAGGCTCTTTGTAAACAGGAGAAGTATTTAAAGCCACAGACACAGAAACTGCATTGGAATAGTGTATTGTTTTTGTTTGTTTGGTGAATTGACCCCGGCTGTGAGTCTGGTTAATGCTGAAGGGACCAGAGACAGAGGTGGGGACAGACATTTTTGAGGGTCCCGGCTCAAAAATGTCCAAAAAGGCGTGCGCTGACATGCTTGCAATACCACCCTGGGCCAGAGGGGGTGGACCCGGAAAAAGAATTAGCCAATGCCAATGTATAGCATCTTCTTACCTCTTGAAAAAGGCTTTACAAGATGGTACAAAAGTCAGATCTTGGCCCAAAGCTCCGTTCCACATGTGTGTCAATGCTGCGGGGAGTGTATCTTTTTGAACCAGTCTAGTTTAGTTTCTGTGGAATTTTGAAGTCACTTGTTAAATTAATGAGGATAGTGCCGGTGTTCTGCCGAGTTGTAACGCTCTGCCAAAAAGTGACGCTCATGTAATGCTCAGCTGTTAATGATGTAATGCAAACCTGCGCGCATGCGCGTCTCACGGCAGCCGAAACAAACCAAGATGGCGGACAGAAAGTCCGAGAATTGCGTTAAAAGTTATAATACGAACGAAATAAGACACGAATGTCACTTTTAATGCAATTTGAGGCGAGATGTTGATGGTTCCGTGTTGGCACAAGTGGGTTTTAAGAGTCAAACTTTCGGGTAAAGTTTAGTTTAAGCAGTCAACTGCACCTATGAAACCACTATGCTTATGTTATGATAGCCGTCCTGGCAGCTGACGTACGTCCTTTTTTGCGCATGCTCAAATCAGACTTGTTTTCTCTTCTACCCGAAGCTGAAAACACACGTGAGTATGGCTCTCCGTTTTCAAATGGCATATATTTCGATTGTTTTAACGTTCTATCAGCGAAATTCATCCTGTGATTTGATAGGGGCTTAGATACATCGATATGTAGTGAAACAAACGCTGTGTAAACGACTTTTTAGTAAAAGTCGTTTACAGCTGGCGTGTGAGATGGACCAACATGCTATGTAACGCTACCAACAGTGATTCATTTTAAATATATAGTACTTTTTCAGTGAAGTGCATGCATAGGGATATTATTAAGTTTGACCCATAAGTTTGACCGCGTTTTCCTTGAAGCAACCGAGCGCGTTGATTTGGACTTAATGGTGCAAGCACTTAATGGTGCAAGCACTGACCTCACGGACGCTACTAAATTCTATACAATATGAAATTACTTATTCAACTTTGTACCAACTCCTGGGTTCGAAATTAGATTTTGGGGAAAATGTTACGTACACGCGTAATGCATGAATGAATACGTGGTCATAATCCCTCCAGAAATGTATTAAGTTTCTCATATTTGCTCGTGGAAAGATAGTAACATTATGTACTAGTAGAAAAGAGAAATTACTTTTCATTTATGTGTGTGGGTTCTCATGCATGTAGCCTCATTATTAATAATTTTACATATGGTCTTATCTCTTGATTTCTAATGGTGAAAGTAATTTAATACCAATACAAAGTCAGAGATTTCCATAATTTAAATATGATAATTTTGTGTGGGTTTTTTTCAAACAGTATTTGACGTTATTACTTGGTAGTCATTTAACAACGTCTTCCCTTTTTCTCCCCAGACCCATCCTTGAGCCTTTATCTTTCGATATCTAATGGTGAAAGGAATTCAATACTTATACAAATTCAGAGATTTCCATCATTTTTCAAGTAAGATATTTTAGTGTGGGTTTTGATCTGTTTTTGATGTTATTATTTGGTAGTCATGTAACAACGTTTTCTCTTTCTCTCCCCAGACCCATCCTTGCACTTTTTGTTCACTTCCTCATTTACATCTACTTTTGATTAATAATCAAAATGGAGCATAAATGGGATGAAATGTTTCTCCTCCTCACAGAGAACATTTATCCTGAGGGAATGAATACATTTCAAAGAGACAACTGGAGGAAGTACTCCCTTAAGTTTACAGTAAAGGGTAATAATGCATTTGCTAGTATGGTTATACATGTCTTATTCTTCTTCTGTTGTTTTCATATAAATTATTTTTTATAGATGGTGAGCTGTTCTATGGCAAAAGAAGAGCCATTAAAACCAGACATGAGGCGCAGAAACTATTTCAAGAGTTTCATGCTACGCCCATGGGAGGCCACACTGGGATGAAAAAAACCCGACATGCCATTTGTTCCAGGTTTTACTGGCGTGGCATGACTGTGATGATTGACAATTGGGTATGTGATATTATTTGTCTGTACAATTCCCTTCCCTAAAGCCTGTTCGTTTTAAGATTGCTGAGTGTGACCAATGTCTACGTGAGGGAAAGCCTCTGGGTACAGTTGCACCACTCCAAACAATAAAGGTAATTGTATTGTTACTATTCAACCACCAATGTACATTTATGCATTACAATCCTGTTGGCATGTTAGGTGTCTGCTGTTTGGGAGCTGCTGGGGATTGACCTAACTGGGCCCTTCCCCGAAACTACTGATGGCTATCAGTACATATTTACAGCCACTGATTATTTTTCAAAGTGGGTAGAGGCTTTCCCATTGAAAACCAAGACGGCTGCGGGGGTTGGGCAAAGACTTTGCTCTATAATATACAGGCATGGGTGCCCGAAACGGATCCTGTCTGATCAAGGGCGGGAATTTGTAAATGAGGTGAATATTGCTTTTTGTAGTTGTTACTTTTTTTTGTTCATACTTTCTTATTCATTTAAATTTTCATTGTTTTAGCTCAATGATTCTCTGTGCTCTCTGCTGGGCATTGAGAGAAGCGTCACCGCTGCGTACCACCCACAGACTAATGGGTTGGACGAAAAGACCAACCACAACATCAAGAGGCAAGAAAGATATGTATAATTTAATCATGTGAAGCACACATTAAATATATGACTGATGGCAAACCCTACATGTTTTAATTTCCCCCATTTAAACAATGTTCGGAATGTCTTTCTCAGAGCTTTGATGAAGTTGGTGAATGAGCAGCAGAACAACTGGGACACATTCCTTGATGCCACACTGTTCTCTTTGAGGTCAACCAAACACACCCCATTCCAGTTGATGTATGGGCGGGAGGCTGTGTTCCCCTCAGAGGTGCCTGTAGATTATCCTGTAAGTTCCATTCGTTCAATTGTTGGGTTACACAGAGGGGGAAGAAGCTGGACAAGGTCATCAGTAAGTTCAGCTCAGTCATGGGCTGTTCCCAGTGCAGCAGGTGGGGGACCATGACTGTCACCCCCTGCAGGACACTCTGCTCTGGAGAGCAGCTTCAGTGAGAGTTATTCATCCTCTATGTGTGAAGAAGAGGTTGCACAGGTCTTTCCTTCCTGCCGCTGTCAGACTGTACTGTGAGAACTGCTGAGTCTGTACATGTCATCTCGTCTGTAAATAAGTAGTAAGTAAATACTGTAACAATCACATTTTCCCACTGTGGGACAAATTATACCTTATTTTATTTAGGAGACAATCATGGCACTTTCTTGACCCACCAATCGAAAACAAGTGGAGGAAAAATCAAGAGGCTTTTGGAGGATTTGAAGAAGGGAAAAATAGCAGATTCACCAGGTAGGGATAGTAATGTCAGTAATATTTGTTACTTTGCATCTAACGTTTTTCCAATGCTTTTAGGACACTGCCAAATGTGACAGCTACACACCAATGGAACTTGAGAGTGAGAAGGTGCTTGACATACAAACAGAACAGGTATGTCTAGTAGTAAATATTACACAATTTATTGTATTTTCATTATAAATTAAAACTTTTGTGTTTCCTTAGAGCAATGAGGTAGGAGGGAGTTTTTACATGGAAAAAGTCTTGAAGCGGACTACAGTGTCACTGATTGTCACACGCAAGTCAAAACATTTCTCTTGTAACCAAATTCATTGTTTTCTCAGGGTATGCCCCATTGTACAAAGAAGAGCTAAATGAACAACTGATTGCCTAAAGATGTGCAGAAACCCGTCTCCGAGCACCAGACATCACAGCTGAAGCGTTATTCTTTGTAATAATTAAGAATACAAATCCTGTTAACATTGACCCTTTTTTGTGCAGGCTTTTTTGGGCAGGAATGCACTTAAATGAAAATGTCAAACGTGGGCAAGATTCTTCAAAGGGGCAGTCTTTATTCAAAGTTCCAACCCAAAGTACAACAAAGGAAAGCAAACAGCAAAGCCAACACTTGGTAAAGAAATAATACTGACTACAAACAATACTACAATACTACAAACATTACAGTACAATAACTTAATAATATATTATTACAGAGGCTGACCAGGACAGAAAGCCAACGCACTGGCCTTCAGGATCTGTGAACTCTTCGCGTATCCTGAGCACATCACATGCAGGAATGACCTGGCTCCCAGTCGTCCCGAGCACCAGCTAACCAACTCCACAAATCTGAGACTCCTGTGGAATTGGACACGTATGTTAATTATTGTAATTTGCTGTTTGCGTAGTGTACTGTGACGACGAGACCATTTGCACCTGCTGACTGTCCTCCTTCAGCCCGACTCGTGGGCTGCACCCCTGCCTGGGAGCTGCCTCAGTCCTCGTTCTGCTGCCCCAGTCCCGCCCTGCGCCCTGGTCCATGTTCTGTAGCTTAGGTTCTGGATCTATAGCCTGTCCGTCCGTGAGGAGCGGATCCCTTTCTCAATGTGGTCTCCCTCAAGGTTTCTCACTTTTTTCCCACTGGGTTTTAGAGTTTTTCCTTGCCGATGTAGGAGGGTCTGTTAGACAGTTAAGTGTCTAACTAAAGGACTGGTGATGATCCAGGACACTTTAACATTCTACAACATTTATGGACATTTTTTCTCCTTATGGATCAATGGTTCTGTGTTGTTTTGCATTTCATGTGTTCAAGTGTTCCTCTCAGATTTGTGTTTTGAAAGATATACAATGTATTGTGTGCTTTGGATGTGCCTGATATTTGTTAAATGAATTGATTTCTGAAAATGAAGTCTCCACGCTCTTTCAACATTATCAATATATTTATTTGACAGGGACAATGCAGACACAGTCATAAACAAAGCTTGCAGCTGATGTGATGAATGTAGTTTATAGCAGATGCCAATTCACAACTCCTGTCCCTGGTTGGGCCTAACCAATCAAAGTCAATACAATTCCTACATTTCTAAAAATACACTTAGTTTACAGCCTTCAGACTTAAACAAACTTGATTGATCCACACAAAAAAACTACAAACGTGTTTTCTCTTGTATTTAAAGCTTGACATCAATGCGGGAACTTTACATCCTTCAGCAGGAAAATCTACACAAATGCAATTCAATACCACAGCCCATTTTTTATGCACAACCTAACATAAAGCCCATGAAAAAACCTTTGATTGGTTCCAATTTAAATGTTACTCACCAGTGTTGTTCATTTCTTTAATAGAAAGGATGCACCCGATCTTTCATCTGGGAAACTAGTCAAAATTCATCAATCCACGAATGAATTACATTTCAAAGGACAACATGGCCATGGCATGTAATCTCTGTGGTTACTGGTGATAATAATCCTGTGGTTTTTGTCATGGATCAGCTGCAGCAGAGTCTTGACAGTAAAAGTTGCACTATATATCCAAATGGCCATATTTTTTTTTTTGCAACTTCGAATTCATCCCATGAAAATTATTAACTGAACTGACAGAAAAGTGTGCAGTCCACAGGCTGTGCTGCTGCAGGTGATCGCTGCATTAAATTAAATGTATTATTTCCATTATCAACATTCATCCAGTTGTAAGCTGTAGAGTTGCCACAGGACGCTTCATCAGCCTACGTCAGCTGCCAGGACTGCTATCATAACATAAGCATAGTGGTTTCATAGGTGCAGTTGACTGCTTAAACTAAACTTTACCCGAAAGTTTGACTCTTAAAACCCACATGTGCCAACACGGAACCATCAACATCTCGCCTCAAATTGCATTAAAAGTGACATTCGTGTCTTATTTCGTTCGTATTATAACTTTTAACGCAATTCTCGGACTTTCTGTCCGCCATCTTGGTTTGTTTCGGCTGCCGTGAGACGCGCATGCGCGCAGGTTTGCATTACATCATTAACAGCTGAGCATTACATAAGCGTCACTTTTTGGCAGAGCGTTACAACTCGGCAGAACACCGGCTGACGCATGCGCAAATGCGTTTTTCCCATTTTCCAGCCCCCACAGCTATTTTGAAACTGCCCATAGACCGCGAAGGTAGTGGCACATTAGTTTGAGCGGCGGAGATAGGCGTGACTACAATATCTTGCAAGTAGTATGCATTTTTTCCACTTAAGTTGCATTAGTTCTATAAGTCAAAAAAATATGTCGTTATGGTAAAACCGTTAAAACACTAATTTAGAAGTGACATTAATAGAATCTCAAACTCTAGGATAAAAAGAAGCAGTATTAAATCTCTATCTTTAGCATAATACGGAAAGACATAGAATCTCCAACGTGAGCATAACGAGGAAGCAAGACAAAAGTGCACAATCTCTGACTTTAGCAAAATGAGAAGTATAAGCTTAAAATCCTGTAGTGCAAGTCATATATAGTTGTGTGTTTACATCTGCACATGTTAGCTGCATCAGAGTATCACATGTGGTTTAGTATTTGCACATTCTGACATTAAAATGGGTAAAACAAGTATATATTAACATAGAGAACATGTCAGTACAACAGATGGATTTTAATTGCTAGCTCTTACATTACCAAATCCCACTGTTATTTCACCAGATTTCAGACTATCAAGGAGTCGCATATGACAAATGTTAACAATGTTGGAGTCTGGAGAGTGTGTTGTGTGACAAAGCCCTCTGCTGCTGTCCCGTGTGGCTCTGTATGCACGCATTAACACCAGTCTATCAGCTCTATCCTCAGGGCAACACGGACCCAATCTCCAGCCTGAATCATCCGTGAGTGGGAGGAACGTGCGGCCAGAACCACGACACGCTGCATTTTCATCAAACATCCACACTATTCCCTCTCCACATATGCTATGAAGACATTACAAGCAAACGACATATGCAGCTAGCTAACACGGGCTTTTCCTGAGACTAGGAGACCATAAAAAGCAAGTTTTCCATCAAATGAACGCAATAAACAAATGCAAAACTTACCCAGGACAGAGATGGGCAAAGTCTCCATGTGGAGCGACGGGATAAAATGCAGTAAAATCTCCCTACTGTAAGTCCTGGCGAGTCCACCCTAAACTTGAGTTGTTGATAATGTCTCACTCAAATCAGATTAAAATCCTCAAGACTAAAGACAACAAGCAAGACACAGCATCCGAGTTATTTGCACATCATGCAAACCTCATGTAAAGAGAAGTGCCCTGTTGCTAAGATGACGTCTAAATAGAGATAAGGAAGGTTGGAGGTCACAGAAAGAGCCATGTTTAAGAACTGAAATCAAAATGACAGGTTTAGGATACACAGAGCAGTAAACAGGACAAACAGTAAGACTAAGTGCAATATTTAACAAGAACTAGTTTGGTGACGCTTTCTAATTAGGTTTCTCATTAAGCAAACAAAAGGCATTGATAAACTATTATTGTTTGTTTGTTTATAAGCTCTTGTAATGAGTGAACTCACATTTGTAGATGTCTAAGTGTTAATAATAGTAATAATAGTACTTTAGTAAGTAAGTAAGTAAGTAAGTTTTTATTTATATACCGCCTTTTCACTGCAGATCTGAGTCTCAAAGCGGTTTACAATTGTTAATTTTTGGGCATTTGTCTCTCACTCCACACAGAGATGGGAGCGGGGTCGCCAGTACAGGAGGCGCATGCCAGAACTATTGGACATATTTTTAGTGGTAGGGGAAACCGGAGTACCCGGAGGAAACCTACGCAGACACGGGGAGAACATGCAAACTCCACTCAGAAAGGCCCTGGTCCGACCGGGATTCGAACCCAGGACCTTCTTGCTGAGAGGCAAGAGTGCTAACCACTCAACCACCGTGCAGCCATAGGCCATAGATGTCTGTAAGATCAATATTTGACCTGCTTCAGTACTGGTTCAGACCTGGTTCAGACTTGGTTCAGACTTGGGACATGCAGTCCTGGATCAGACCTGGATCAGACCTGGATCAGACCTGGATGAGACCTGGATCAGACCTGGATCAGACCTGGATCAGTCCTGGATCAGTCCTGGATCAGTACTGTATCAGACCTGGATCAGTCCTGGATTTTACCTGGAACAGTCCTAGTTCAGACCTGGTTAAGATGTGGTTCACTGCTGGTTTGACCCAGGGATAGACCTGGTTCAGTGCTATTTCAGACCTCTTTTAGACTTGGTTCACTCCTGGTTTAGACCTGGCTTAGTGCTAACTTTTTTATCCTTTTATTCTGCAATATAGTGCGCAACAACGACATTAACATTTCCCCACTGAGGGATGGTTTATCTGATCTTATCTTGATCCAGACCTGGTTCAGACTTGGTTCAGACCTGGTCCAGTCTTGGGTCCGACCTGGTTAAAACCTTGTAAAGCTGAAATGCCTGTAGGTTCAATTACACTATTTAATAACCACCGGGGCCTGTACTATAAAGTCTTCCATCATTAACGATATATTTGATCAGATTCTGTTCCTTCCACTGCCATTTAAGTTTTGCGATGCATGAACCATTGGAGTCAAACTGTCAATCAGGAGCTGTGGTATTCAGTTCTCTCCGGGAGAATGCAGCGGGCGACCGGAGACGGGGACTTTGTAGAAATGGTTCAATAACAATAGAGAGAGACCGGCGCCAGTTCCACTCATTTAACCACTTTGCTACGATTATAATTGTGTTGTGATTGCGTTACCTCTGGTGCCATCCAGAACGGGGTCCCCACAGAGGTGTTCCTCCTCAGCCGGGCGTTGGTCAGCTGTGCCGAAACACCTGCAAACACCACACAAAGCCTTCATTCGTGCAGCAACCCTCCTCCTCCCCATCACCGCTTCAACAGACAGACCAGCTCTTCAACCCTTCTCTTGGCTCCACCCACCAGGGTCTAAAGTCCAGGGGATTTCATCTCATAATCTCCATTTTCATCTCCCCTTCTGATTTTTGTTTTGCAGCGCTCTGCCGGGGTCCAAGCGCCAAATCATAACCACACTCAAATGTCCAGCCTGCCGTAAAATTGTTACGTAAGTGTCTGTGTAGTGGATTCTTCTCCCATCCCTCCACATTTTTTCATATTTTCTCTTTCTTTACTTCATATAATTTATTTTGAAATATCTCTTACACGTGTTTTTGTTAGGCCAGGCCAAAAGACAATACTCGGAGGCCATTGTATGTTCAGCGAGAGTCCGCTGGTCCCAAAGATCAAAGTAAAGGGACACCTCAGCCCAGTTTGCTTGTATTTCAGACTAGCATTTACCCTTTGTGTTAATTTGGGTTGATCCATCTGTATTTAATCCTAATTCTTTCCTCAAAATTCAGGAAAGGCGTTCTATATACCTTCAGTTTACTTCAGTTGGACCAAAATGTTTGATATATGTTTGATATCTTGCCTTTTGTTTTGATCCACTACAGTCTGCAGAGTCTTATTTGCTAATTTATGCAGAAGTATTACTTGCTAATAAACTAATAAATACAATTCTAATAATCTCTTTTGTCTGTTGAGTCCAGATTGAAACCACTTTAGAGCCAGAACACACAGTTCCAGTTAAAGTTACTCTGGAGTTTTCCATAATCCCAAACATAAGACACTGATGCAAATAGAAATTCTCATGGAATGGATCTTTGCCGGAGCTGACAGCCACACACTCACACACAATAATACTGTAAGCGGCTATGGAGTCCCCCCGGCCGATGATGGATGGCTTTGAATTGCATTGTGGGACATTTGAATACATTTGGACTGAAACCGTGTAGTGACAGCTCCAGTCAGCATATCTTCATTCCGAACCAGTGTTTTCTGTATAATGCACAAAGTCAAAGCAAAAATATGTGAAAAGTACGACGGAGATTTTCGACGGAGGTTTTTGATGGAGGCTGACGGGGAACAAGCTGACCCACTGTAATCGTGACGTCTGTGCGATCCCGGCGAATCACTGTTACAGGCACAACACAGCAGCCACCAACACACACACACACACACACACACACACATACTTCCCCATGCTCAGGACAAGTATCGCGTAATCTTGGAGTTGACTCTGGAAATTTACATCTGAGGTTTATGTTAATCTATTACACTGCAAAAAATGATAAAATATGAGGTGGCAGTTGCTTGAATTGAGTGGTTTTTAACCTTAATTTGCGCACATTCTGGCTGTGTTATAACAAGATTCTCCAACAATAATAATAATAATAATACATTTTATTTAAAAGCGCCTTTCAAAACACCCAAGGACACTGTACAGGCATAATAAAAACATTAAAAACAGGAGCAACAGAATAAAACAGTTGTGCAGTATGGAAGGGTGTGTGTGTGTGTGTGTGTTAGGTGCAGGTAGGACAGTCTGAACAGATGGGTTTTGAGTCTGGGACAATGGGACAAAACCATTTAGTCTCATTTCATAAACAGTTTTGCATTATTTTTATTCCAAAGGACACATTTCTTTTGTTAAAACACCATCATTTTGCTTTGTCCCATTGGCAAATCCAGTCAAAATGTGTGAATGTGCCAAAATTGACCAATTTCTTTCTTATTTTCCCCCACTTTTTGCAGTGTATGTCTGCATTCGTGACTCTAGTCTGTTGTATTTGACTAATTTAAGTGATGTTTGCTTCAGTTCATGTGCAGTGTTTTGAGTTAAAAGGGACCTATTCTCATTTTGTTGGTATATTATGGTTTTTTTTTTGTGTTAAATAAAATTCATTTTGACAGATAGCTTCACCCTTAGCGGTTTCTATCAATAATTATAATCCAAAACGAGATTCGCTGAAAAATTGCCGAGACCGGAAGTGACGTACACGTAGGGGTCATTGGGCTTTGTTGATATGCATTTGGAAGCCATAAAGTTGTATACGGACGTTTTAAACAGATATTTGTTATTCAGTGATGGACAATAGACAGTCAATACAAGTCAGGGGCTTTTAATTATGAGCCCATGCAGTACTTGTTATGACAATAATTCCGATTTTGAGGACTCTGACTCGGTTCAGATGAGGAGCAATCTCCAAGAAATGAATATTTGCAAACATTATAAGGTTTCACGGGCTGGACTCATGGATCCATGGTCCGACCGGGTCCGACCCATCTCGACCCGGTTTGCGGATGCGGTCAGTTTGAGCTCGATGGTGCCACCTGAGAGAGTGTAAATAAGTGTTAGCGAAGGTAGCGCTTGGGACGAAGGAATGAATATCACAGAATCGAATCATGAAACTCGCTGTATCGCGATATGTAAAGAATCGCAATAATATTGAATTGTGGCCCGGATATCACAATACTATGGATTCTTCACATCTTTTCCAGTTCCCAGCCCCGGTCACGAGTATAGCTGTAGTATATTAGTACGGATACAGTCGGGTACAGTATGTGTACTGTACACAGTGTACACAATGGTAGAAGGATTGTGCTGATGGGTAAATCCTGGACGGGGAGTGGAGCCAGGAAGAGAGTTGCGGAGGAAGGCAATGTGTCAAGCATCAAACAGGATTTAAATCACGTGTTCACGCAGCAGGGGGGGTTGGGGGGGGACCCGAGTGTAAGTGGGTGTTAATTCAATGCTGTAGGGATTAAATATGTGAATTTAAGTGAAGACATTCTAATAGCATATGCGCAGCGAAGATATAAACGGCATTTTGTTCTAAGCTAATGTTGGAAAAGCAGCATTCTCATTGAATTGTTGATAAGAATCTGAATTGTTATTGAAATATCATCTTTCAGACAATGATACACTGTGAAAAATGACACACACAAAAAATTAATGTTGTGTATCTTGGTTGTGCATCTTTTTTTTAGTCAATTTTATTGGTTTTAAAGGGGAAGTCAGTTCAGTAAAAAATACATATCGCACATAACAGTAAAGTGTCTCATGCATGGTCAGAAATATACATTATCTTAAAACATGATTTAATTGGTTGACATAACCTTTTACACAAGATTTGCTAATGGGACAAGAGCAAATTCTCACTGGGAAAGAGGCAAAACTGCTTCTGCCTTTGAAATAACCGTTTTTGCAAGTTTCTTTAGCAAATCTTGTTTTAGGGCAATCAACAAAACACAGATTGTAGCCTTTTCTCTATATTTCCCCCACATGATTCCTGGTCCTTCACATGTGTATTATCTCCTGGTTCCACATGATTCCTGGTCCTTCACATGTGTATTATCTCCCTGGTTCCACATGATTCCTGGTCTTTCACATGTGTTTTATCTCCTGGTTCCACATGATTCCTGGTCCTTCACATGTGTATTATCTCCTGGTTCCACATGATTCCTGGTCCTTCACATGTGTATTATCTCCTGGTTCCACATGATTCCTGGTCCTTCACATGTGTATTATCTCCTGGTTCCACATGATTCCTGGTCCTTCACATGTGTATTATCTCCTGGTTCCACATGATTCCTGGTCCTTCACATGTGTATTATCTCCTGGTTCCACATGATTCCTGGTCCTTCACATGTGTATTATCTCCTGGTTCCACATGATTCCTGGTCCTTCACATGTGTATTATCTCCTGGTTCCACATGATTCCTGGTCCTTCACATGTGTATTATCTCCTGGTTCCACATGATTCCTGGTCCTTCACATGTGTATTATCTCCTGGTTCCACATGATTCCTGGTCCTTCACATGTGTATTATCTCCTGGTTCCACATGATTCCTGGTCCTTCACATGTGTATTATCTCCTGGTTCCACATGATTCCTGGTCCTTCACATGTGTATTATCTCCTGGTTCCCCATGATTCCTGGTCCTTCACATGTGTATTATCTCCTGGTTCCCATGATTCCTGGTCCTTCACATGTGTATTATCTCCTGGTTCCCATGATTCCTGGTCCTTCACATGTGTATTATCTCCTGGTTCCATGATTCCTGGTCCTTCACATGTGTATTATCTCCTGGTTCCCATGATTCCTGGTCCTTCACATGTGTATTATCTCCTGGTTCCATGTGATTCCTGGTCCTTCACATGTGTATTATCTCCTGGTTCCATGTGATTCCTGTCCTTCACATGTGTATTATCTCCTGGTTCCACATGATTCCTGGTCCTTCACATGTGTATTATCTCCTGGTTCCACATGATTCCTGGTCCTTCACATGTGTATTATCTCCTGGTTCCATGTGATTCCTGTCCTTCACATGTGTATTATCTCCTGGTTCCATGTGATTCCTGGTCCTTCACATGTGTATTATCTCCTGGTTCCACATGATTCCTGGTCCTTCACATGTGTATTATCTCCTGGTTCCACATGATTCCTGGTCCTTCACATGTGTATTATCTCCTGGTTCCACATGATTCCTGGTCCTTCACATGTGTATTATCTCCTGGTTCCACATGATTCCTGGTCCTTCACATGTGTATTATCTCCTGGTTCCACATGATTCCTGGTCCTTCACATGTGTATTATCTCCTGGTTCCACATGATTCCTGGTCCTTCACATGTGTATTATCTCCTGGTTCCACATGATTCCTGGTCCTTCACATGTGTATTATCTCCTGGTTCCACATGATTCCTGGTCCTTCACATGTGTATTATCTCCTGGTTCCACATGATTCCTGGTCCTTCACATGTGTATTATCTCCTGGTTCCACATGATTCCTGGTCCTTCACATGTGTATTATCTCCTGGTTCCACATGATTCCTGGTCCTTCACATGTGTATTATCTCCTGGTTCCACATGATTCCTGGTCCTTCACATGTGTATTATCTCCTGGTTCCACATGATTCCTGGTCCTTCACATGTGTATTATCTCCTGGTTCCACATGATTCCTGGTCCTTCACAT